TACAAAAATCGTCCAAAAATCGTCAAAATCTTATACGCGAGTATATACGGTATTTAAAGTCATGGCATTTAAAGTGCAATTTCCGGCCATTTAGTGTTTAAAGACATGGCAGAAACGATTATTTCTACGCAGAAAAAAATTATAAAAATAATAATCGTATGAGGGCGCTATACTACTTTTCAAAGGCAAGCTCATTTGCTTTGGTCTAGATTTGCTAACTACAGATAGAACAAAATTGTAGTGATGTGCAGTAAGCAGTATGAAATATATTACATAGAAGCTGAGACAACTACAGAAGTTGTATAGTTGTCTCAGATAGAAGCGGCGCCTAGCAAAAGGAGGTTTAAAGATTGTTTTATTGACAGGGTCTTTTTACAGGGACGCTTCGATTATGATTAGGCCTACGTGTAGTTTCAAGTACATGGGGAGTGACAAGACAAACCGAATATTTATAAAAGATTTTTAAAAAGATATTTATAAAAGACATCATCAGTCACACATCTCATGAAATGTGTCGGAAAAGGAAATTTATTATATTTATTTCAATATTTTGTGACATTGGCAATTCACAGCCGGAGCTGATCATTAGGGACCCCTCGGTACATATGACAAAAGTAATAGTAGAAATGAAGCATTATAGGCCTATAAAAAATAATCAAATTAGGCCATGTAAAAAATAGAGTAGTTGATCGTCCTTTTTTTAAAAACATTCGGTGGGGGTGGAGGTTTTTTTCTTTCTTTCCTTTTTAATCAGTAATGAAACCACCCCATTAACACATGCCAAGTCTCCCCCCCCCCCCCCCCACATCTAGATGTGTATAAGAGACAGCACCAGGAGTGCAAGGCCTCATGTAAACGTTTGATCAGGTGGAATTTATACGATCAAACAATTGTAGTTACACACAAAAAAAGCCTGCCCTAGCCAAAGTTGAATTAATTGCGGAAGACGATATTTCGTGAGTTTTGGCGGGAAAAAATGGTCGGGTGATTTTTTTTTTTAAGTAGGGAGGGGACGATTAACAACTTCTTTCTACATGGCCTTATGAAAAATTAATACAAAAGTAAAATTGCAATAAAATAAATGAATAAACATAGAAATACTTTTTTATGTACATATATTTAATAGAAATCAGATTAATAACAAAATAAACAGTTAAATAATTAAATAATTATTAGATAATAGAAATATATTTAATTAATAATTATTAGATAATAGAAATATATTTATGCTAACAGAATTTATGTAATTAATCTATATATGAACAAAAGCATAAATATTACATAAAAAAAGCATAATGATGAATGACTTAAAACAATGCAATTCAAAACAAATAAAAATGCACCATTTTTTTTTTGCCCAGCATGAGGCAAGACATCAGAACAGAACCAAAGCAGAGAAAGAGAGTGAGTGAGGGGGAGAGAGAGAGGGGGGAGAGGGTGGGGTGAGGAAAGAGGGAGGTAAGAATAAGAAATGCGAAAGGAAGTCCTGTGGTCTTAATTTCGATATGTCCCTTTTTTAGTTTGCAAATTTAATCTCAAAAAGAGATAATTTATAGGAATGAAAACAAAAACAATTTAATCTACTTCATCAATCAGGTTTTCCTCCACTTCATAGCACATCCACTGCCCTCATTGAAGCTTCCGAATATATTCTTGATAACATGGATAAAAGCCAACTCGATAGGTGGAGTTTTTTTCGACCTAAAAAAAGCTTTTGATTCAGTTCATCACCAAGCCCTTATCAACAAACTGATTACTTTTGGAATTTCTGGTCACGAGCGAAACTGGTTTGCCTCTTACATTGATAGCCAACAATCGACCTGTATAAATGGTACTCTCTCTGATTTTTCTCCCATTCGGTAGGCCTACGGAGTTCCTCAGGTATCCATCCTAGGGCCTCTCCTATTTATTATGTTTATCAATGACCTTCCTAATTATATCACACAGTGCAAAGTTTCAGTCTGCTGACGACACTGTTTTTTTTTTTATCCAAAAATGTAATTGGCATTCACAACACTCTTTTTCATGACCTACGTGCTAATTGGCTAACCAAAAACAAATAATGGTAATACTGGTAATAATAATAATAACAACAATAACAACAACAACAACGACAACAACAACAACAACAACAACAACAACAACAACAACAACAACAGTATAAAGAATAAAGAAATAAAAAAATTAAAATTTAGCATAGAGGCGTTATATTGTAGTATAGTACGTGTTAGTTTATTACCTACGAGGGAAAATATATCTTTTTGCACTAAGGCCAACACCCTGACATTTTTTTGATCCCGAAGGTGTCCCTTTGGGTTCTACTGTATTCAAAATTGAAAAAAAACATGGATGTAGGCCTAATTTAGTCAAATTTCTGGAACATTATTTTCATTAATTCAAATATTCATCAACACCTACAAACTTCGTCTTCAGATTGAACGCAGATCATGGTACAGGGCCACAAATACTGTTTCCTACCATGTCCTGTGTTCTTGACAACTGGAATTTTAAAAAAAATGCTAAAAACTACATTGAACGACATTTTAGTTTCAGATAGGTCTCTTTATGAGAAATAGCAAAAACTGAATAGCGCCCTCTATGTGTAAGACGGTAATCAAAAAAGTTTTCACTCGTCTCTGACACTGACAGAAGTAAAGCTACCTGCATTTTTGGTATTTATTGTGCCGTTGGCAATTTTTGCGTTGACATCATGAAATATAAGTAGTTTTGTATTGAAGAATTGAAATGCAATAAAGTGAATATTACACATCTGTGTTGTATTGTATATCTATAGAAAAAGGGAAACTATTTTGAAGAGGAAATTACGGCCACTGTTGGCTGGGAAAGTATCACAATGTTGATTTATTGAAGGATAATTAATATCTGTTCTTCTATATCCATTTAACATTATCTTGATTTATAACGTATACACAACGAAGTAATTGCAACATACGGCAGAATACATCCGTTATATGCAAACAATCCCGGATAATGAGTCGCCTTGGAGAGAGAGGCCTGTCCGGGATGTTTCGTGTTTCGTGGCCATATTTGGAGTAATTACACTGTATACGTGTGTAAATGAATGAATGGATAATTACTGTATTTTATATATATATATATTTTATTATTTAGTACTTATCTTGTTTGTAATACGATAGTATAGGATAGGCTTATGTTTTCTCATCACGGAGGCTGTATTGCCTATCATGTCATGTTGCAACAACCACCGTCGTCGTCAGTGGCGGATGCAGGAATTGGAAGAAGAGGGTCTATATATAGAAAATTTATGATTATGGCAACTCTAGATGACCGATTTTAAATTTTAATATAATTTTACTTTTTTCTCTCCATAATTTTGAAAAATTAGGGGTGTGGGGAGTGGGGTGAATCTAGCCTTTTAAATCCGCTCAATGGGGTCGCGACATTCCAGGTCATAAATTAAACATTTTTTCAACCTAAATATAAATTGCGAGGGGACTGGGACAGTAGTACCGGTAATAATAGCTGTAATAGTACCGGTACCTGTAATAGCCTACAGTCAAAATATTAAATTTACTCTTGTCTGGACGAATCAACTCCATTTTAAACATTTCCTGGTCTGCGGCTCCCCGGTGCGGCTCTCATAACCAATTTACTTGTTCCCCATGTCGTACTAAGGTGGTGCTAGTCTTCTTTTTTTTAAACGATATTTGTAGAGGGTGACCATTTCAGGGGTGGCGCCAGGATTTGACCGACGAGGGGGGTCGAGGTCCCCGACAGGAGGGGGTGATGCCCCCGACGGGGGGTCAGATTTCCCCGACGAAAGCAAATTGGGCGTCGTCGAGCTTCGATTAAAAGGTTTCGAAAATCGTCCAGGGGGCTTTTAGGGGGTTTCAAAGGCTTATTTAATCGATTTTAGAGTCTACTAATATTTAGAAAATGCATATAATTTTGTTTTTCTCCCCGTCGAATTGTGCTTTTTCTCCCCGACGGGGGGGGGGGGAGCTCTCCCCGACAGAGGACCCCCCACTGGCACCACCCCTGGACCATTCCAGCGTATCCTAGAAGGTCGGCTGATATTCAGGGCCCTCCTCTAAATATTAAAAATAATGTGATGCGTTTAACAGCGAAGTCTCGTTATGAGGCTTAGGTAGTGGAGTTGTTTTTAGTCGTGAGAAGAAGTCCTGCTGTCAATTGAACCCAGGACCCTGGGATTGGAAGGAAAGCATAATAAGTTGATAAATCATCATGAATAAATTGATAAATCATGAATATGCCTTGATTTTTAATTAAATGTTTAAAATTTGTAAGGCAACGTTGCCTATGAAAGTTATTTCCTAAAAAAGCCATTCCATGGTTTATATTGAAAACGATATTTAGACACATCATAAAGGAAATGCATTACAGAGAGACAAGGAAGGAAATTAGAAGGGGAATGAGGGAGATGAAGGCCAAGAACAACATCAAAAAGGACAAATGAAGTATAGAGTACAGGGTAAGATTCTAGCCTCCCCCCCCCCCCTAAAAAAAATGAAGATAAGAAAAGAAAGCGGGAGTAAAGAGAAGTGCGTCACTACTCGATGGACAAGCTATTTTTCGATTTAAATTTCATGCAGCGTCTATGGTCAAGCATTTCTGAACTTCAATGTCAAACACCACCCCTCCCCTACCCCTCGGGCTTGGTCGCATAGCATGTGTGAGAAGGGCTGAAGATAGAGAGGGATGGAGATCCATGGTCGTCGAACTGATGGCTTCACCGACTGGAACACTATTTTTTAAAGGTAAATCGAATAAAGTACAGTTAAATCATAATAAAAATAAGACATGGGAATGTTAAATCAAAATCATTGAGTAAAAACTAATAATTTTTTTTTTTATGGAAGTGGAAGTTAAAATACTTCAAATTAGGCGTACCCCTTTTATACAGGCGTGGGCATCATGGTGCATGTGTCTCGTTCGGCAATAAATAGGGAGTTTCCCTTGTGTGTAAAATACGCGACCGAACTTATTTATTGAGCATGCTCAGTTCAATCACAACACAATGAGCGATAATAGTCGTCGGAAAATGGCGGATGTGTAAGGTTAGTTTGGGTTTCCGTGAAAACAAAGTTGTGGTATTTCACGTTTCTGTTCCTCTTCTCCGCTCATTTATTGGTGAGTTGATATTTCAGTTGAAAATCAGTACGAACACATCTTTGATATGTTGTTTTTTAAAAATTAAGTGATGTTTTTTGAATGAATAAAACTGAGCACTTTCAACGAACGATCGAAGCTAGCCTAGGCCGAGATAGGTAAGGTTGCCAGACGAAAGGGCGATACCTTGTCCGTTGGTGGCTTGACCGTGATGACAGGTTACGATTTTTTTTTACATGCTCGAAAAGTCTACAACAATTATTAGTTATACTCGGCGGCTACTAATTCATTATTGTGCATTGTATTTTCAAGTGTTATAAAGTTAAAATAGTAAAATAAAAAACAATTTCAAGTTGAAAATAAATATAGATTTGTATCCAATCGTTAATGACAATGTTGTTATTGTTTGTTCTATTGTTTGTTGTAGGGCCCCCCTGGGCCCCAGCTAGGCCTAGTCCAATATTTACAAGAGCCCAATGTACTTTGGTACTTGTTTTTCAAACATTAAGCTTAGTATAAATGATCAATCTGGCTCATGCAGCCCTACTTTTGCAAGGAGATTAATTATACCAGACTGAAAATCAGACACAGCTTGAAAATTTAAAAAATGAACAATTTCTTTCTCAGTCCAGTGTTGTGTAAGGTGTTGTACTGGCTACTTTGTATCAACTTTTTTACACAAATAACCACATTATTTTTAGCACAAGATACAGTGAGCTTACTATGTGCTACCTTGTATTCCCTACTCATAAAGGATTTGTTTTTATTTAAAAAGACACAGAATTTTATTAAAAGTAAATTTATAATTATCAAGTTCATGCTCATAGTTAATCATTTATAATTTTCACTGGTTTATTTTTACAGATCTTGAAAACATTATCTTCAAGTTCAACAAATGGAAGTAGGTTTGCGAGTGGTCCGCGGCCCAAACTGGAAATGGGGAAACCAGGATGATGGAGAGGGCCATGTAGGTACTGTTGTTGAAATCGGTTGTGCCGGTAGCACCACATCACCAGATAAAACAGTTGTGGTACAGTGGGATTGTGGTACACGGACTAACTATAGAACTGGCTACCAGGGGTGCTATGACTTATTAATATACGATAATGCACCAGTGGGTAAGTGAAATTTATATTTATATCATGATAATACCTGACGTACTAAATACATAGTATGTTCCTAAAAAAAAATAAAAAAATTTGCAAGTGATCGAACCCACGACCTCCAAATAACTAGCCTGGTGTCTACTAGGTCACAGAGCTTGCGCTTAGTGATGACTATTGTTGAATCTGATCCCCAAGTGGCAGCGGGTATTGCAATGCTATTTCGGTGTGTTTGTGTCAGGAAAATATCATAGTGATGATTTGCTCTACCTGATGTGTTATCATACTGAATACTCAGTACATTCCCAAATACTTTCATGTATTTACAATATTTTAATATTAAAATGATCCAAATAAATGAAAATACTTTATTTTAAATGTTTTGTATTTTATTAGTCTGTGAATCATGTTTTTAAAAAATATTTTTTATTTTTTGTATATAGTTTAAATGTTTATGTTGCTTAAGCCCTATCTAGACTATAAAATTTTATTTCATAGAAACATGTGACATGCCTAAATATGGTCATGATGACATCACATCATGACCATATATAGGCACATCATGACTATATATGGGCATACAACAGTTTTTGTCAAAGAAAATTTGATAGACAGAGCTTAATCCTTTTGGTACATATTTTTGTGTTGGTCATTGTACTGTAAACAGGAGAAGATCCAGGGAAATATCTTGGTGGGGACCATGCATCACGCAAAGCACTGAGTGGGGGTGTTATGTGAGATTTTTGTTTAGAAATGCTTGACCGTCATAGAATTAGCTTGTTTGGAGTACTATGCTCCCCTCTTTCACTTTTCTTTTATCTCTTTATTTTAGGGGAGTGGGGGGGGGGGCAAGGTACCCTGGATCTTTCCCTGGTAAACATATGCTTATATCTCTCCTCTTCTTCCCAATAACAACAAAATATACCTGCTGTACTTGGTATCACTTGGCTGATATTGAGTCTAAATAATACAGTAATTACCAGGTTAAACTGTTACATGAGTGAACAATATTGATTTTTGAATACAAAGTGATCCATCAATTGGTGGTGTCACACCCATGACCTCATTTATATAATTATGTAATACGATTCAGTTATGAAGCATTCAATGTCTGTCTACCAGTAAGTATGAGGATTTTTTTTATACAGTAAGTTGTTATTTTATATACCATTTGCACCAGCATAATTTAGTATCCGGTAATCATAATTTATGACAAGAGCCTTTTATAAGGGTTTATTTAAAATCCAGTGAGTTGTTATTTTATATAATATTTGCACCGGCATAATCTAGTATCTGGTAATCATACTTATGACAAAGGCTATTGAACTCCAAAGGGAGGGGTTCTACAGACCTTACTGCAGACCTTACTCTTCTGCAAGTTCCTGCATGCCGATTAAAAACGTATGGCGAAAGATCGTTTCACGTAGCAGCACCAAAACTATGGAACAGCTTACCTTCTAGTGTAAGAGAAGCACCAACTCTTGCTATTTTCAAGACAAGATTGAAGACTCATCTTTTCAATACCTGTTACTAATTTCAAATTTTCATACATTTTTTTTTTTTTTTTTTTTTTTCTGCCTTTTGTTTTTTGTGATTTGAGTATAGGCTTGATTAGATAGATGCCTTACATCATGAGAGCATCTGTGAATCATGTGCCGGCCAACCATTGCCTGTCAATGGTCTTAAATTGCAGGCGAACAATGCAGTGATGTTTGGTTCTTCTGCTCAGTCTGTTTCTCTGCATCTGTAGTTTGGTTACAATAGGAGTTGCCTTTTGTTTTTGTTTTCCAGCGCATTGAGACTTCGGTATAATGCGCTATACCAAATCCCACTACATTACATTACATTCTACTGTAATAAAACTTAAGTGAAATTCAGATATAAATTCTAAGGATTTGAACCAAGGAACCTGCACTAATAAGACAAGCACCCAGCAAGCTAACCACAGATCTATTTCTGATAAAAAAAAAATTCATGGGTACAGAAGAATTGTAGCTTCTGGCTTTCTAACTGAAGGTTGTCAGTTCATCAAGTCCACTTCATTCTGAGAGTTCCAAGTTCAGTTAAATTTTTATTTTAATATTGAGAAAAAAAATGTACACCTTTGCGAAAGGAATACATTGCTGGACATTCTTGCGAATATTTCTCGAAATGTAAGTCACAATTTCTGACTTTCGGCTTCAGAGAATAATGCTGCCTGTTGTAGGATTATGTGAATGATCAATTTGATATAGAACTGTTCTTGCTAAATTATGGGTGCACCTACACAGCGCAGTAATGAAGGAAAATTTTGCCTCAAGAACTTAGAAGAATTGTACAATGTGTATGATTGATTCATTATCCAATAACTAGGACAACATATTAGACCTAGATAGATATAATGTTGACTGCGCTAAATATAAATGAAGTCTCACTATCATTGTAGCAAAATTAAACGGCTTAGAATTAATACTTGTTCTTTCTCACCAACTATGCTATTAGACTACAGTGGTATTAATGGAGCCATTTTAAAACAAATACCTTGTCATATTTTTTTTCCCCATTTCATTCTAACTTCTACCAGACCTGATTTCTTCCTTATTATACTCTTCTGTGTCCGTGTCAAGCCTATATATTTGATATATCATATGATTCCATTTATTTAATTTTGTAGTCGCAGTGTAAATGATGCTGCGCAAAGCATTGTAAGATCTTGTAATCTTTACCGCTGTGGAAGAGGCAGGTAAAAATTATGTGATACCGCAGGGCACTTTTAACTTTATCAAGATTGGTACATGGTAAAATATTTTCACACGCTGTGTGCCTTGTTAGGGAATCTGTGAATTTTAGCAAAATGTTGTAAAATGTGAAATTATGAATTGGATATTCATAGAAAGTACTAAAATTGACCATTAAGGTTTCAGTAGAATAAATATTTAGTGCTACTTTCATCTACATCCCCACCCCCTCCCCCTACCAGTTCACCCCTGGTATTACTATTAATTGGCTTATTGCCCAGATATCAGTGCATGCTTGTAGAAGACCAAAGGTTAATATTTATGAGATTATATTTTCTACTTTCATGACCAAATTTGGAATTTAATGTTGGTATATTGTACAGTCCCAGACAAATGAAATGTCATAAAATTTTAATAATGAGGTCAGTCCTGAATTTGTTGATGTTATATTGTCTTTATTGCAGTTATAGTATGCAATAAATTAGTAATTATAAATGTAAACTTTATTTAGATTTTTTATAGGAAGTTGCAGAGCTTGCATTTTGTGCATAGTGAATAGATTTTGAATGATAATGCCAAAAAAGTTTATATTTATTACATTTTTCTAAACTAAAAATTAAAACGTTTGCTCAATATTATCCATCTCCCTTCCCATTATATTTAAAAGATGATAAAGGTTTGATTTTTTTTTTTGTCTTTAGTCTCCCAAATGTTAAATGTTAACAGTGACAGTATAGGAGTTATCAGGAAATGTCATAAAAAAAAAATCCATTACAGAATCAAATGAGAAAATGCTCCGAGGAGACAAATGCCATCATCATCCATTTCAACATTTGAGGTTCTTCATTACACTTGATAGTAATTGACTGTTTGCAGTGAAATGCATACCGTACAGTACCATTATTTTCGAAATGATGCTTTAGTGAGTTGGGAATGTGGGGGTGTGTACTCTAATGGTTTATTGATGATTGTAATAATATTATTTTGAAGTGTTGCATCAGGAATTTAATAGGATAATATTTTGATGATGATCATGGGTGGTGGTGATGATGATGATGAATATGGTGATGATAATGATGGTAATGATAAGATATCCATGATAATGTTGGATTTTTGATGTAACAATGGTTAAATAATAGTAAAGATCTAATGGTCAATGGTCATATATTTATATAGCGCCTTCCACAGTAAACCGTCTCAAGGCACTTTACTACTCTATGGTGATGTAAATTGTTCGTCCAACATGTATCAAAAAATGTTTTTTCCTACGGTGCAGTGGTGTTGGCGCCAGCAGGCAGTTAAAATTCGACCTCTCGTCGGACAGGTCTGGACCTGCCTGTTGTCCAACGCCACAACTAGGTTGTAGGATTAAAAATTAAAAAATAATAATTTTCCTATCCAATATAACGTTATTTTAGTTGTTAATCTCAGTATTGAGGTCTAAAGCACAATTTCGACCAACAAAGCCATAAAAACCTTCCTGTGAAGCCTACCATGGAATTTTATTCCAGGCCGTCGACCAAGGCTCTAGTCAGTTCGTTGGTTGGACATGTCGTACCCCTTGTGGGCAAATTTCTGGTGCCACCCTTGCCTGGCTTTTTCCAGTAATAATGATCATTTGAAACGCTTGATGCATTATACTGTAAACCAAGTCTGTGCCTAGGGAGTGGAAAACTGTGTTTTCAAAATTGTAAGAAAATATTCTGACTAACTGTATCATGATTGAACCCAACATCTTAGGATTTGAATGTTAGTGTCTTAATCACTAAATTACAGTCCATTTCACTCTCTATCCTCTTCCAACAGAATCTTAAAATTATTTTAATGAAAATTTACGATCATAATTTTTGTATCTATTAGATAATTTATTTCTGAAAATGTCTTCCATTAATTCGGAAGTACAAAGTACTCTCTGTCTTCCTTATATTTCTACTTTCTTCAACTTATATCAATTTAAAGAATGAAAAACCTCTCTTAATAATGATCATTTTAAATTGTATTATTGAATGGAATCATGACTCATTCAGCTTGCTATTGAACGAGTGTAAGAGCTCTTGAATCAGTAAAAGCTATAAGGATAGATTGAGTAGCTATCATCCTCCCTCCCCGGAGATTCTTCCCGTAAATGTAAATTAAAATTGAGTAGCGATAATGTCGTGGCTTCATAGCCCATCGCTTAGTATTTTGTGTGGCTCTTTTATTGATCTCCAGTGCCTTTAAAACTTAAGCAGTCTGAATTTAAAGTCTTGTGTAATATTATCGGTGAATGTTTACCGGGGACATGCCCCTTCTAGAATT